GGAGGTGGTACAAGCGGCTACATTAAACACCTTCAAGAGCAAACTGGATGCTTATCTTGCTGGGATCCTCTGACCCCAGCTGACTTCCTGCCCTTTGGGCAGGGGGCTGGACTCGATGATCTTCCGAGGTCCCTTCCAGCCCTAATGTCTATGAAATCTATGAAATCATGCTGAGCAGGCACCTTGGCCACAGGGTCCTCCAGCCCTGTGGGCTTTGCTATGCTGTGCCACCTTGCCCATGTTGTGGAGATAAGAACGGTAAGCTGAAGGAGGGATGGGAAGCTCAGGGACCCTGGCTCCTGATATATCTGGAGCCATGGGAATGGCGGCCAGGTGGGACTGCAAATTAACCCCCCTCAGGCTGCATGTGGCCCATGAGCTGCAAGTTGGATGGGCCTGATGTCGTGCATAGCAGCTGCAGTGTTGTGGGGGCACACCAGACCCCTTGTCATCTTTCTTCTCAATTGTGATACATCTTTTGTTGAGGAATTGGATCTTAGTCTTCACTGGATATTTAAAAGAAGCGTTGGCCAGGCTTGAAGGAGGTATTTTGTTGGTGTCAATAGGTCACAAAGATGACAGAGCTGAAGATTTATTCTTGAAATTAAGTAAACTTCTCCATGCCCAAATAAGGACCTCAAATAAGGTATTTGATTTAGTACACTTTGGGGTTTGTGTATCTGGCAACTGGACAGTCAGGTCGGAGGAATCTCTAACCCTTCTAACCCCCGAAGATTCCTCATCTTAACATTTTGTTAACGAGTATAGCTCTATGCAAAACCAATAACTCCTAGTCATATAGGAGATAGAGGTAGAAATTATCCTACTGTGGTACTATAGGATAGGCTAGGCTTTAAAGGTAGGATATTAGGCTTTAAAGTTGTGATTTTATTTAAGGTTATTTCACAGATTTTCTGTAGCCCTGTGGTCCTTCTCCAGTCCTGCACGTTTGTATTCATGGTAACTAAGGCACCTCGATTTGCAGATGGATTATAGAAAAAATAATCCTTACGATGATTTTTAAATCATTTACATTTTTATTAAATAATATCACTCACACCATATACATGCTGATGGGGTGTTATATAATGTTTTATTTGATGATTTACATAACTTACGTTGTAGCTTCACATCATATGAGTAATTCAGCTATCCCAACCCTGTGCTGATAGTAATATGTATTCAACATAAATAAATGGTGGTCATGGAACAAGGAGCCACAGTTCATCCCTTTGTTTTGTTGTATCCTGTCTTACTTCCTTTGTACATTGTCTGTTTGATTTTGGTAGCTCTTGATTATGATGTGCTTAACAAAAGTTTGGTGCCATGTAAATAATAACTAATAATGATGATTCCTTATTATTATATGAAACTCATGTTTTTTCTTAGTTTTGTTAGAAAATCATGATTCTTACAGTTTAAACTTAAAATTTCAAAATGAAAGATATCAGATTCACCCAAAGAACCTTGTCTGCCTATGTCTGTAGACCAACACAGCTATAACCTACACCTCTGCAAAATGAAATTTGTGTGACAGAAAATGACAATGCAGGGAATGTTTGTATGAAGCACTGTAACATAAAGTCATTGAATGCTGTACAGTGTCACTTAAAAACCCTATCCAAAGCTTCTGGTTAAAATAGTACAGTGCACCTTACACAGCATGTAAATAAAATGGAAGCGTAGGAATAATATGAAAAATAATCTTAGAAATAGTTTCTTTTTTGGGGCTGAGAAGTGACTTCGAATGAAATCCTAGTTTAACTTGATTGATAGAGGTTACAGTGCTTTTTTTTTTCTTGAGTTCAGGTTCATTTATTCATTTGTAAATATTTGATTCTTAAAATTCTCTGTACGTCACCATTATCTTTTCTGTTATTTTTAGCTGTCGTTTACCAGTTTGAAGCAGAAGCTGGGTAGAGAAAAGCATGCTGGAAACAATAGGTAAGTTTTTATGTAACACTGTTTCTGGCCAATCTAAGTTTACGTGATAGAGCTATATAATTATATACGAGACAGTTGAGCTAAGTTTTGTCACGCACAGCTACTATAGTTAAAAAATACCTGATGCTTTTGTTGTCCTGTATTTTGTTTTGAATTACCTCCCAAATTTTGCATACAATCTACTTGATTTTTGAATATGGACTATTTACTATCATTGCCTGTTTTAATTTTATTTCACCTTTAGTAGTTATTAAAGCTGGTTGGAAAATGTTACCTTTTTTTGCAAAAAAATAATTTTATAAAGTCAACTGCTTTTTCTTAAATGTATTTTTAATACTGGCTGTTGAAATGTATCTGTAGTCATGATTCCTTCACCTCTCGTTTTCTGAACAGTCTAATCTGCAACTCCCCCTAGTTCTTGCATTGTCATCAACTTCAAACGGAATTTCACCAATGCAAATGAGAACAGATTTGGGCTGGTTTTTTAATATTTAAAATTTGAAAAAGTGACTAATGTAGAAAAAAAATCACTTCTGTTTTCTAGTTGGGGGAGATAGAAAAGTGATGTTTGAGTAGTCGGAAATGCCTGTATGTGCCCTTTTCTAAGCTGCTGCTGACTAATAATGAATATGCCTACAGATACACAAAGGGCCCTCCAGGCAGTGGAACGCCTGCAGGCAAAATTATGGGAACAAGGTGACACAGCAAATGAGGAGAAACTGAACTTACTTAAGTCAGTGCTGCAGAGCCCTCTCTTCAACCAGATTCTGAACCTTCAGACTTCTGTTCAGCAGCTGAGAGATCAGGTAGGAACAGCAGCATCCAAGGAAAAGGGGAGAAGTTAATAAGTTTTTGTAAAAGCCTGGCATAATTTGTTGTTGCTTGTTAACAGTTTAGAAATTGCATATTGACTGATAGAATAGTGAAAATTAAAGGCCTGATCCTAGGCCTAATCCTAAACCTGTTGAAATCCATCAAAAGATTCCCATTTACTTCAGTGGGTTTTGGGTCAAGTCCTAAATGCTAATGCATATGTATATATTTTCCTAGTTGTTTGCATATAGTATATTGATGTATGCTAAATGATGGCCTTATCTGGAAAGGTAGCAGAAGGTTGACTTCTAATAAATTCAAAATAAAAGAAAGATAAACCGCTAAGGACACAATGAAGAAGCATTTAATTTTTAAGACCTGTGACTTGTGATCCACTTCCCTCTTGGCAGTTTGGTAGTATAGAAACACCATTTTCATGGAAATTTCAGATCACTGGCAATAGTGGGATTATTTCCTTATATAGCAGTAACAGATAATAGGCAACAAAAAAGCATAGAAGAGGATGTTAATTTTTTTTTACTTTATCAGCAGATATAAAAAATCCCTGAATATGGTTATAATAGATTGATTAGTTTCTCCTTGATGTCATGAGAAAGATATATTGAGTATAAAAAGTAGTTTTTAATACTGTATTTGCTTGAATCCAGGAGGGGTTCCCCTTGCTATTTAACATGGAGAAAAAGGCAGCGGGGCTGGGGGGGTGCAGCTAGCAGGGGAAGGAAGTAGTGGGGAAGACAAGGTGGCAAGGGGTAAGGTGTGGAGGGGCAAGGCACAGGGGTCAGGCTGTTTGACCCCTTCCCCCACCACCTGCCCTCCCACTGTCTCATGCACTGCCCTCTACTGCCTGCTCTGCCACTTGCCCCCCTACCACCTGCCTCCACTGCCACCCCTACTATCTGGCTCCTGCCACTGCTTTTCTGATACAGCAATGGGAGGGATGAATTCAAGATAACCCTCCAATAATTAGATTCTGTACATGGAAAATTGTAACAGATTTACAAAGTTTCTGTACATGGAAACTTGTAACAGATTTATAAAGTTTCCATGTATAGACTCTAATTATTGTGGGATTGTATTAAATTCAGAGTAATCTTGGAGTCAGGTAAATACTGTAAGTGACTGTTAAAACCAGGATATGCATCCATCTTTGCAGCTAGCCATTCCACAGATTCATGAGAGAGGGCCTGGACAAGGCTTTTTCTGTAGAAATTCCGTAATCCATTTTTGGTCAGCTAGTGCATCAGGGATAGTTGGAAGAAGCAGTTCCTGCATTCTGAATTACTGTGGCACTGAGGTTGAATCTGGCCCCTATATCAGAGTGCAACTTAAAAACCCCTTTTATCCTTGCTTCTATTACAACTGAGCAGTAGCTGACACAACCTGGCTGTTAGTTATTTCCTGTAGTTCTGGAATTCATCTTCATGTATTATAACCAGATTACAAGCACATTGGTATATTATTTACAGTATCATACTTCAGTGCGCATTTCACTCTTTATATTCTTGGTACTGAGAAACTAGATTGTCACCTTAGACTGCTACTGCAACAGCAACAACAAAATGCTCAGAAAAAAAAGCGTTGACATTCTGATGTGAACATAGTGCATGTGTTGATTTTTACCATTACTGAAGGGAAATTTAACACTGACATAAACAAAACACGCACACAGTGAATTAATTACATGACTGATATCTGAGGGAGCCTACCGTTTGAAATGGAGGTGTGCCTTGAACTGTTACCAGTAGTTTACTAAAAGGGCAAATGGAATTTTTACCTTTGTGTGGCGTGGTTAGATAAAATAGATTCATTCCTCTTTCCTTAAATGTTTTAGGTTAGGGTATTTAATCAAATCTATAACTTAATGCCATTGAAAAGAGATAGTCAAAGATTCACCTGCAGCATATACCTGTCATTGCACCCCTTTATTTATGTGTGTGATTATCATGGTGATGTATGCCAGGTTGATGATTTTAATGTCATTTACTGCTTGAATACCTAACAGGCTGCTTTCATGTGAGACAACCAGGTCTGCATGTATCTGAAAAAATGACTGCATATGTAAATACAGGTGTACTGTTGTGCACAGATCTGGGTCATCTCCCTGCATCTCTCTACAGCTTAGATGCAGTTTTAAAATAGAGCCTGGAACTGTCTGTGTTTTCTTTGTGCCTTATTTAAATAATTATAAATAATTCTACTGATTTGTTTGAAAAAGAAAAGAAGAAAGAAAGTAAAACAAGTTTAAGAAAATAAAATTAAATGAGATCTGAGTTGCTCTAGGAATTGTGAAGCCTTTAGTTTATCCAAAGATAATCTTTTGGACTTTTTAAATAAATTTAATTTATACGTCTTGTATTCCCTGGCTGAAGCTACTGGCTAGTACAGGGGCAGGAAAAATATGGCCCACAGGCCAGATCTGACCCTTCAGGCACATTCATCCAGCCTGTGGCGCCCTCCAATGAGTAGCACCCCATCCAGCTCTTTTGCCCATGAGAGTGAGAGCAAGGTGCCCACATATACAGACTCCCAACATACCCTATTGTAGCTCACTCCCACCCTCGTGGGCAGAAGGGGCTGGCCCAGCCAGCCAGCAGCAGGGTTCCAGGCAGGGCTGCTGCTGCTGCAATCCCTGGGGACTTGATCAGCTTCCCCAGTGTCCTGCTTACTCTGGGCATCAGGTAGGAAAGTGGTGGGGACTGGGGCAGAGCTGCAGCTAGGTGGGAGCGTGGGGCTAGGCCTGGCGGTAATACAGAACCTGTGCACAGAGGGCAGCAGCAGCACAGAGCTTGGATGGGCAGAGTGTGGGTGTGAGGGAGAGTGTGGGGGGATGGGGGACCCCCCCCCCCCACCCCCGGGGGTGGGGGGGAGGGGCCCCCCCCCCCCCCACTCCCATCATGGAACGCAGCAACAACAGCAGGCAGGGGCACTCAGGGTGTTCATGCCCAGCGCAGGCACTGGTGCCCAGTGTTGTACAGCTCCAGCCAACACTGCACATCGCAGTGAGGTGCAGCCCTTGCTTGACTGTCTCTATTGCTGGTGCTGGTGCTCCCTGACGCAGCTCCTGCACTTGTGCTGCATGGGAGGGAAGACCTGAAGGGGGTGGGAAGGGCAGCTGGCTCTAGCGAGTGTGCACGATGGTGAGTGCCAGTGATAGAGACGGCCTGGCGGGGGCTGTGCTCCTCGCTTCAATGTGCAATGCTAGCTGGAGCTGCGAAATGCCAGGTACCAGTGCCTGTGCCGGGCATGAGCGCCCCAAGCTGCTGCTGCTGCTACTTCTGTTTGCTGTGGCTGGGGGGGCTCAGCGGCGGGGGGGGGGGGGGGGGGGGGGGTCCCCAGAACCCTCACCCTCCCTCACACCCCACAGATGTCACATACCCACACCCTGTCCCCACAATCCCCCACATATACACAATCCCCAACATCCCCTATGCCACCCACACTGCCCACACAATATACAAGACTAAGACTTCAGCTTTTAGTTATTCTGCAATCACCTTTATGTACGGTATGCAAGCACAAATCATGACAAAAATATTTTTTGTAATAAAACTAAAATATGTTATAGTAGGTGTTTGACTTTTAGTGTATGATTTGGGGTTTTTTTTGTTTCTAAGATGGCAACTCTCCCCCGCAAAAGGAGTAAGGGGAGGGACTTCCCATGGCAAAGGTCAGGGGTCAGGAGCGGGACTTCTGGTCCCAACATGGCAACCAGGGGGCAGGGAACTGTCAAAGGGCGGGGCAACCCCTGTGGCTCTTGAAAGCTCACCAAATCTCGTGAACTGGTCCTCCACCCAAAATAATTGCCTGCCCCTGGGCTAGTAATAATTCCAGGAAAAAAAGTGTACAACCTTCCTAGCTTCACTGTAGTAGGCTTTGCAAGGCAGTGCAGGATTCCTTTGTTGTTTGAGCTCTGGGCTTCTGTTGAGAAATGAAGTCAAATAGTGCTAAAATGCAGGATGGTTTCATTTTGTGGCCTATTGCTGTAATGAATGTGCCAAATTTATTTTCAATTTTGATGTGACCTGAATTGAGATTTGAACACTGGGGAAGCTGAGCGGTCCCTATCTTGATAACCTGAAAGGAGAAGAAAAGGTGTGTTAACCTGTTCATTACTTAAAAATGCCTGTGATGCTTATGGGCTTAATTTACATACTAATTACTAGAGCAGTGCTTCTCAAACTTTTCCTCAGCGTGACCCCATTTATGACCCCATTTTCTCAACATGGCCCCTGATTTCCAACCCTCAACCCCCCACCACCCCAGGTGGCCCTCACTTCACACCCACAGTCCTCTGCCCTCCCCAGCACGCCCAAGGCCTGTGGCTGCCCCCCGTGGGAGCCAGTGGCAGCTGCAGCTGACTGTAGAGCCTGGTTTCTCTGCCCCCCCGCAGGCAGCACTCCCGGAGTGGAGCCCGTGGTGGGGGAGGATGCAGGCTGCCCACTGCAGGCTTGGGGCTCCCCACCCTGCTGCCCTCCTCCCCAGGGCTCTGTGGCCCAGTGGGCAGGACCCAGTATGGGAGGGAGGGAGCACTGTGCCGCCATGGTTGCCAAGTTGAGGTGCCCCCTGCTCACCTGGCAGCAACGTGGGCACAAATCGCACCACTGCTGCTACTGTGCCTCACCTTGGTGGCCATGGTGGTATGGCATGCCTTTCCACAGTGGGTCCCACCTGCTGGGCAGCAGAGAAGGCTCCTGCCTGGAGCTGGCCTGGCCCAGTTGCAGCCCCGCACTCTGCTGTAGGTGCAGAAATCTCAGGGGGCATGTTTGTTATGACCCCATCTGCTGATGTTGCAATCCTATTTGAGGTCACAACCCATAGTTTGGGAACTGCTGCACTAGATACTTCCTAACTATTCAAGAAAGACTCTGTGCTCTAAAAATCTCTAAGGCAGAATGAACAAATAGACAGATGTAACAATTGTATTGATATCCAAGCATACCAGTACTATCTGTTATGATGCCACTATTACTTC